GTATGCACTGTGGAGCCTGGCTTACAGAAGCTGGCAGCAGTGGCAGACAACTGACTGCTATTCAATCTATAACAGTGAAAAAAGTTTTTTGTTTTTAAATCCAAGCTATTGTGACACCAGATGTAATTGGTGGCACTGACTGGGGAAATGGGCACTGTGAGCCTGACGCAGAAGCTGGCAGCAGTGGCAGACAACTAAGTGCATTTACATTACATAGAAAAAATAAAAAAAATAAAAAAGCATACCCTTATCCCTAACCTAGCTATGCTTTTCCCTATCTTATGAACAGCAGCTACACTTTCCCTCCTCTTACTAAGCATGCAGCTTGAGAATGAATCTAAAATGGATGCTGTCCAGTAGGTGGGAGGGTCTGCTAAGGAGGCTGTGCTGCTAATTGGCTGGAATGTGTCTGCTGACTGTGAGGTACAGGGTCAAAGTTTACTCAATGATGACGAATAGGGGGCGGGTCGAACCGCGCATATGTTCGCTCGCCATGGCGAACGCGAACATGCTATGTTCGCCAGGAACCGTTCGCCAGCGAACCGTTCGGTACATCACTAGTAAGCATACATTTAATATCATGCGTCACTTGTATATTTTTTGAATGATCAACAATATATAACTTCTCTGTTCTGAGCTTGCCCCTCCCTCCGTCTCCACCCCCTTATACTGTGCTAAAGCCCATCTCCTTTCTGTCCTCTCTCCATTTTGTAGATTGCTATGACCCTCCCCCCTACTACTAGTTTAAAATCTCCTCCAACCTTCTAGCCATCCTATCTCCCAGCACTGCAGACCCTCTCCTGTTTAGGTGCAATCCATCACTACTATAAAGGTTGTACCCAATCGCAAAGTCGGCCCAGTGCTCTAAAAACCCCAAACCCTCCTTCCTGCATCAAGACTTAAGCCACGCATTGACCTCTCTAATCTCCCGCTGCCTTTCCACTGTAGCGCGTGGCACAGGTAATATCTCAGAGAATACCACCTTGGAGGTCCTTTTCTTAAGTGTGCTACCTAATTCCCTGAAATCATTCTTTAGGACGTTCCATCTTCCTCTTACTTTGTCAATGGTACCAACATGGACCATGACCGCTGGGTCATCCCCAGCCCCTCCCAATACTCCATCCACTCTGTCAGCAACATGCACTGTTAGGGAGAAGCATCTGGGGGTCACCAGGGTGGGGTAAAACCATTTTAAAGTGGGTTATGCTGATTGCATTTTTCCAAAGATTTTTCCTAAGATTTCGATTTTTAGAAGTTTTATTTTTCCACCGATTGGACGCAGCACTGAATGGGTTAAAATATACTTGTCCTTGTTGACCTTTGTGTGCATGCATACCTTTGAACTTAATGCCTGAGTTAATTTAGAGTGGCTTTAGATTTGCATGAAATGTATTAAACAATAGGACAATAAGGCAATATGGAAATAAGTTGCAAGTTTTACCAAAGGTTCCACAGTCTGTGTGAAAAGTAATTATTTCTCACGTCTGCTAGAATTTACAGGACCAGAGAGTTCTCTTGTTATCACAGGTTTCATCAAAATTTGCTTCCAACAAAATGAGCCCTCTAGTGCAGGGGTAGGCAACCCCAGATGCTGTGGACTACACTTACTATAATGCTGGCAAAGCATTAGGAGAGATGTAGTCCACAACATCTGGAGTGACGAAGGTTGCCGACCCCCGCTTGGGTATACTTTTTTGACTTTGCTTATTTGTTAATTGTTATTTTCTTTATTTGCAGAGCTAGAGAGAGATACACTTCTTGACATTCTGCTGTGACTTGAAAATCAAGGTGATGTAGAAAAATAATCTAGGCACTCCAAAATGTTCCACAAAAGTAGGCAATTTTGTTGGACCCGAGCACAAAAGAACAACGTTTCGACCCCTTAGGGCCTTTGCATTTCCATCACCTATACTTGAAAATCAAGGGGCACACATTTGATAGCTGGATAATATTGGGGGATGGTAGAGAGTGCTTGAAAATTCTGTGCTGCATTCTGCAGGCCCATGAAGGTTAGGTTGGATTTCAGTCTTTTCCTAATGCTGTATTGATAAAGAAGGCCCCAAAAGACTTACATTCTGAAATCATTATGTATTGACAAGAGAATTACAAAATGTAGGGAATTTTGCATCAAATGTTGCATTTCTATTGTAAGTTGGTCACATTTCGCTCTTTAGTAAATAACCCTGTAAGAGATCAGTGTAATTATTAAGAGGTTATCTGAGTGATTACTTAAAAAATAAATGATTTGGTCAGCTGAAGTCATGAGCACATTGTAATATATAATCATGTTGACATTGACTTACACTGACTCATGATAAGTCTCTTGTCAGTTAGTCAACAGGATCCACTAACTGATAATGTTAATTAACAAAGTATATAACAGCTTGCTGAAGACATTATCGTTATAGAACACTACAGGCATTCAAGATGGACCCCAGCTCTCACAAACGCTATCATCTACATGAATGGGAACCAACAGACATGTTTAATACATATTATTCTGGAACAACTGAAAAATATATCACTGAAGAGTCTGTGAGATTTACAGTTGAACAACTTTATAAAGTGATAGGGCAAGGTATGCTATGTTTAATACATTAATACATTTAAAAAACACTACACCTTGGTATTATATATATATATATATATATATTTTAATTCTTTATTTTTTGCAGTGCATAGAGTAACATACAGGCATTTCTGGACATCATAGTAAGACAATGAGTTAATAATAAAAGAGTAGCTTAGTACACCAAAGGTAATGCAAGTTTTGTGTAATAGTATAAGCACTATGCACAGCCTTTCAGCGAGTAGCAGGAGGAAAATTAACATAATGAGCATCAACAGGTCTTTGGTAGAAATTGTAAGAGTAAATAAGGAATGAAAACCTACAGCTTGTCTATAAGTGTAAGCTTTGAGGAGACCCCCCAATCAGGTATTATGTGAAACAAGTTTGTAGTTGTATAATGCTTCCAAAATAAATGTTTTCTTAGGATTTTGTTTTAAAGTTTGTAAAATAAGTTATGTCTTAATTCTTCAAAAAAAGTATGAACCTTAGGAAAGCCTTGATGGGTGGCTTGGAAGTAGAGTTGTAAAAATGAAGAAAAGTTTTCTAAAATGATATAAAATATTTAATAGTTATTGTTTTTGATATTCAAAATGTATTCAAAATTATGACCTCTTCCAATTAAATCCAAGTGAAAACAAGATTATACAAGATTATACAAAGTAAAGTTTTTTTTTTTGCTTTGTTTGTTTATTTTTTTTATCTTGGGTATTTTTCTACGCAGGTCAAATTCAAGGAGACTATTTGATTGATATTTCTGCTGGCTGTCACATTCACCATCTATTGCCCATTTTTGAGTTTTTTAGAGAAATTATTATTTTAGAATTTAGTGATCTCTGTGTGAAGGAACTAGTGAAATGGAAGCATAAGGAGTCTGAAAGTTATGACTGGACTCACGCCTTATTGATTATGGCAGAATTGCAAGGTACGAGGTAAGGATCTAGCTACCAGCCATGTTTTTGATGATTATTGATTTAAAATAAATGTCCATAAACTTTAAAGTTATTTAAAGAAGTAATATACAACTGGAAGGCAAATATATCCATGTAGTTGATCAGGGACAGAATTGTGTTCTTTTTGACTATTAATTTATTGTTTCTATTCTCTGTCACACAGACATTCACACATCTCAAAAGAATGGATGAGTCTCTCTATACAGATATTGATTCTTAAAGACTTATTAGTGAAATGTAATACAGGTAGTCTTCACTTTGCAACCTACCTGCAAAACAACGGCTCAGAGTTACAGCCAGCTCTGAAGTGCTGAGATTAGACCTTAAAGGGACATTGTAGTCACTATAACCATTTTATCTCATTGAATTGGTTATAGTGCCTGGAGTTCCCTGGCACTGTCCCTCCACTCAGTGTTGCACCATGCCACAACATAAGAGTCCCTGGCCACCTACAGTCCAGCCCCTTCTGTATGTGTAGCTAAGGCAGAGATTACTCACTTCCTTGTTGTCATACCCATTCATACCGTCAGTATGAATAAGAACAAAGAGGAACTACAATTGGTGTATATAAAATTAAACACCATAAAAAATAGAAACTAAGATACATTCACAAACGTATGGATAAAATTGGTGGATTATAATCAAAAATGAAGACTTCTTTTCTTCTCTTCTCTCACTCTTTATGCTTTCAGGGTAAGAGAGGAATATAAAACATAGTGTATAACTGTATATACACAAAATAAATACTTTATTAGATTGCACTCACAGGAAATCAGTAGTTAAAAAGCCCATCAGATTCTCAGAGAAAAACAGGAAGAAGCTGGTAAACACCCAGGATAAGAAGCATGCGAATATGAAACAAAATATATAATAAAAAATGCAGTATAAAAGCAATCATGCCACCCTACGTTTTTTATCCTAAGACTTTGTCAGGGGCATCCGGCTATTGTCCTACAGTCTTGTCTTCCAATACCATTTAAATGTCCCGCTTGTTTCTTTCTCAAAGTTTGTAAGCCAATCCGGAACAAGTCCTTCATTAAATCCACCTGTAAAAAATAAACGTAATTCAGCAACCGGGGATTGGGAGGTGGGAGGGAGAGGGGACCTGCAGTGCCAGGAAAATGGATTGTTTTCCTGGCACTGGAGTTTCCCTTTAACAAGGCCACATGGCTATGTGGGTGGTAATATGGCTTCATATGATGTACCTTTTTATGACATAATTTAGCGTAGCAACACAACTTCCCAGCATGCATTTTTAGAATCATTATATATTACATGGAATTTCCAGAAATCCATTTAACTATTGGCAAATAAATACGAGATTTGTGAAAAAATTTATCAAATTGATTTGTCTGAAAAAAACACCTTTGATGCGTATTCAAACTAATCGATTTGTTCTGAAAATAAATGGAAATTCCAACTCTGAAATACAACATTAACGGAAACAGCTCATCTGCTTAAAACAAATTGAGGGGTTTTGATATGAATAAATCAGTTAATTATCAGATTACTCATAATGTTTATTGATAAACCGAACTATTGAACAAGTCTAATAGATATGTTGAACAATTTGGCAAGACTTATTTCCAAATAAGTAAAAACAAAACAGAGCAAATCAATGCTCCTTATAAACACATACTACAGATCACGTGTTATATGTGTCTCTATTGTATGTATGTATTAAACTTTTAGCCATCTGGTTATATTTTTCAGCTTCAAGGGCAAAAAAATTGAAAACGCTTTAAGAAGAAATATCTCACACATTTTAAAATGTGATTTCACCAAGGAAAACATTACAGATCCAGTCGTTGTACCAAAAGCAGACTGTGTGGTCAGTTTGTTCATTTTCCATCTGGTTTGTGAAGATCTAGACGAATATTGCAGGCACCTGAAAAAAGTGTCATGCTTGCTAAAACTGGGTGGACATCTGCTGCTATTTGGATTATTCAATGCAAAATATTACACTGTAGGTGGGAGCAAATATCACTTATTAACATCTGATAAAACGTCTGTAGAGGAGGCCCTGACAGATGCAGGATTTGTTATCGAACACTTGGAAGTTATAGAAAGCAAAATGCGGAATGATACAACATATTTGGAACATATGTGTTTTATTAAGGCCTTGAAAGAAAGCAATGTAGTTGTTTAAAATGGGACTTCACCTAATGTTCCATCTTAAAGGGAATGCATACTTTAAATGGTTTCTCTCTTTTCAAAATTAATTATTTAAATAATACACTAGTGAAAATGATATCAACAAAATAAATAAATAAATAAATCATTGCAGCTATAAGTCCGAGCTGAGGGTTGGTTCAGTGTAATTTCTGCACTCAAAACATTTGCAATTATGATGTTAAGACAGGTCCTTTAAAATTGTTGGAGCTAAATATGCATTAAAACCAACTCTTAAAAATAAAAAATTCTGGCAAATTTTAACCAATTCAATTTTTGTTGGGACAGATTATTTCTAGTATGTAGTCATCTGACACAAGGACATACAGACAGACAGAAAAGTGATAGATTCACTATGTAGTACACCAATATTTACATTGAAGTCCGAACACTGTAATGGCTCCACAACAATGCCAAATGTAGGTAATGAAAAAGTGCACGATATATTTAGAATAAAGAGAGGAAATTTTTTTAAAAATGGCAGCATCTAATAGCCCACCTAATAAGATACCTCCAATATATGCACCAAAAGCCAGTGTGCAACTTATATGCATATTCAAATAGATGGTAATGAAACAGGGGGAAGCCGGGAGATACAAATGGCAGCTGGAGATAACAAAATCTACTAGGAGGAGGGGAGATAGAGACACTGGAGAGGGTCCCAACAAACCTTCAATGAGGCCCTGAACATATTTCATGCCTGTCTTGGCACTTTCTCAGCATCCTTCATTCTCACAGCTGTGGACTTAAAAAAAAAAAAAAATTAACATATATGTTTTTGGAACATTTCTTTAGATTGTAAGCTTTTGGGCAGGACTGTCAAAATCTACCATGTTGCTTGTGGAATGTAAACAAAAATACGACCCCAAAGTATTCAGTGGAGGGTGGTGAAACACAAAGTTATATACAAAAGAGATAAAACCTGAGAAACAGGATGAAATAGTGGTGGGAATCTAAGAAAAAAGCTACATAGGGGGAAATATATTGATATAGCTCCCGGAGGTGGTAAACTTACAAGAATGTAAATGGTATGCTCTTATCTCACCTCAGGGGTATCTGAAGTTGGTGGAATATCTTCCCAGCAAGATGAATCCTCAAAGGACAAAAAAAAGTGCAAATAGTGTGATATTGTATAAAACTATAACAATTTAATTCAAGGTTGCACTTCAAGAAAGCAAACAGCAGGCTTATCTCCACTGGTGAGTGGATCAAAAAGAGAATTGTCCAGTCCTGGGAGAAACAGTGGTGGATAGATAACACAAGACGGCTAGACGGGACATACTTATTTATTAGGGAGGATAGATAGGTGGGAGCAGCATTATGTAGAGATTTGAAAGCAAGAACCAGAATTTTAAATTGAGCCCTATATCTTACAGGAAGCCAATGTAGGGACTGACAGAAGGTTGAGGCTTGGGAGTTGCGGGCGGACAGGAAGATGAGCCTTGCCGCCGCATTCAGTATGGACTGTAACGGCGCAAGTTGGGAGCACGTAAGACCACTGAGAAGCGGATTACAGTAGTCAATTAGTCATGTAGAATAAAATTGGACATATAAAACAAAAAATATAAAAGTCCAACAAGTATCCGTATCCAACGCTTTTCATCAGAAGCTGACTTCTTCAGGGATATAAACTTCTTAAAAACGTTGTGGTTTTTATAACAGTATGTGTGGGGCTTGCAGGTGTTCTCCATTAATTGCATGCGTTCCATCGTAGAACACAGTATCCGGATCCGGCATGTGAGTACTTCCTGTTTCCTTCGTAGAACATAAGCTGGGAATTCCTGTTCCAGTATAAGTAGCATACAGAATTTAATGTACCAGAGAATAGTCAGTATACCTGCCGAGGTCAGGGACACAGAAGGAGACACAATGATGAGGGAAAGCCGAAAGTCAAGGATACCAGAATACAGGGAAGTCAAAACAAAGCCAAAGTCAATAACCATAAATTAATGCTCAGGAACACTCTCTCGGATAACCTACAAAGGGAAACCATGACAGGGCAATGAGGAGAAGTAAAAATGCATTTAAATAAGCCTGTTACAGATCTGATTGGCCGAAATTACCCTTTGACCCCAGAACGTGCATGCCCGTCTCCTGCGTGACGTCACATGCCCGTGGACGTAATTACCGTGGGCGGACAAGAGGTTATAAAATGGTGTGGATCCGCAGTGGCCGGTGTCCACTAACATGTTGCAGGAGATATTCTGGTGCATGGCCGCTGAGTGGCACTTGCGTTATTGTCAGGAAGGCAATTACTGCAGATAACGCAAGGTGAGGATGAATATGTTACAGGTGTATAGCCAAAGTTCCTAAGTAATGTATGAAAAAAGGATGTCTCCGGTTTTACAGGCCCAAATTAGGAGTGCTTAATAAGCAAACAATTATATGAGGACATATTATAAAGGTGTCCAAGAGAGATTATATATGAACATAAAAAATTTTATGGAAAATGTATAGAAAAAATAAAAAAGTTTAAAATATATAAAAAAAAATTAAAAAATAAATACGGAAGAATTGAAAATAATGTAAAGTGTATGAAATGAATGCAGCTGTTGCCTGTATTATCACCAGCATGCTATTCACTCCAATATGTACATAAAATACAATATAAGATAATAGTCCAATGTGGTCTAAAAAAACAAAAAACACAATTAACATTCATGACAATAAACAGTGAATAAACAGTATATAGTCATTTTGGGGAAGGGAAAAAAAAAGGACAAGACAAAAGGGGCAGTGGAAAAGTGAATAAGATTAAATAAAACCTACTAGATCAATGTCTTGATTTAAACCAGTTTTTAGAGTTCCTAGATTAAATATCCACTGGGCTTCCTTTTTAATTAATTCTTTAATTTTATTCCCTCCTCTCCAATGCGTGTCAATTTTATATATGCCTATGGCAATAAAAGTGGACCAATCAAACAGAGTACACATGCTACAGTGTTTCAGTACGCTGTAATCTAGGTTTTTATTCTTTATATTATTAAAGTGTTCCCGGAATCTGATATGAAGTTTTCGGTTGGTTCTGCCCATGTATTGGGCCCCACAACCACACAGTAACAAATAAATGATATATGTAAATTTTCAATGTATAAATGTTTTAATTGAATATGTTTTATTAATATATGTCCCAATAAAACTAGTGATCTTTTTCTTTTGATGGATGCAGGTTGAACATGTTCCATATGGAATCAAGGGGATTTAGAAGATTGAAGGAAATGGTCTGTTTTGTTATTTTTATTAAGTAAGAGACCAGGGGCAAGTTGGCTTTTTAAATTATCTTCTTTTCTGTAAATAACCAGAGGTTTATCCGGGATAAATTTTCCTAAAATATCATCTTTATTCAGGATTTTTAGATCCTTTGGCATGTGTATTATATTTAGTGGTGAAGGCAAATGAAAATTTATTCTTTTTCTTGGGATTCTTTTTAGTATTATCACACAGAGATTGATTTCTGCCTTTGATTTTTTTTGTTCATCTTGTTCAATAACATATTTCTTAAATATCCCTTTTCCAGATATCTATTTTTTATGATTTGAGATTGTTCTTCAAAGATCTGAATAGCAGAACAGTTTCTCCTCATACAAGTCATTTGACCCATAGAGATGTTACTTAGCCACAAAGGGTGGTGGAGACTGGTATTTTTTATGGCCGCATTTGTGGCAAACAGAACCTCGCCATGGACTTTTGGAGGGGCCTGGTCAGCGACTGTAAAGACCCATATTTTATTCCACCTGGTTCGGCACTTTCCATGAACCGAACGCTAGCTCACTGGCGGCCGTTTGCATGGACCAAAACCTCTCTTCTTTGGTCTTGCCCCTTGTCTAAAAAGAGCAGATGTGTTTTGATGGTGTGATTGGGACGTTGATGGTGAATTTGTTTCCTCTAGATGAGATGGTTTGAAATCAATGTGATTATTTGAGGAAAGTCTGTAGTCCATTTTTATTGTTGTTGTTGTATCTAGAAACCTGTTTGGAAAAAAAATGTTTTTGGGGGGGTGAATTTAGAATATCTGTGAAGATTTTTGGACCAATTCCTGATTTTACCTGTTTTATAGTCCTCCTGATCGCTTTTAAATTTTGTAGATTTCATGGTGGATATTTTATCGTCTATTATTGTTATAAATTCTTTCAGATTTTTATATTTAACTTCTAGACTCCTAGTATCTTTATGTAAAATGATCTCATTTTCTATAAGATTAATTTCTTCCTCTATATTTTTCAATGATCTCTTTTGGAAATCTATTAAACTTTGCATATATCTTTTGGAACAATCATCATAGCATTAAACCATTCTTCCATTAATAACTTATCCTCTGTTCCATATGCTGGCATTTTTATAATCCTTAATAGTGATGTCGCGAACCCGAAATTTTCGGTTCGCGAACGGCGAACGCGAACTTCCGCAAATGTTCGCGAACCGGCGAACCGCCCGAAACGCCATTGACTTCAATGGGGAGGCGAATTTTAAAACACACAGGGACTCTTTCTGGCCACAATAGGGATGGAAAAGTTGTTTCAAGGGGACTAACACCTGGACTGTGGCATGCCGGAGGGGGATCCATGGCAAAACTCCCATGGAAAATTACACAGTTGATACAGAGTCTGGTTTTAATCCATAAAGGGCAGAAATCACCTAACATTCCTAAATCACAATCAATATGGATTGACACCTGACATATGACATGTTGACACCTTGACATATGGATTGACACCTGTCCTCAGAGCCCCTGATGCACACGGACACAGAGCAGAATAGAGACTGGTCCCCCTACATAGGGTCACTTGGCAGATATGGATTGACACCTGTCCTAAGGATCCCTGATACACACTGACACAGAGCAGAATAGGGACTGTTCCCCCTACATCGGGTCACTTGCAGATATGGATTGACACCTTGTTACAAACTGCTATTTGTAACGGGCCCTTTAAATGGCAAATTGCCCTGTTTCCCTGGGTTGTGGAGAAGCCTCTTTGC